AAATCAGCAAAAGCTGTATCATGAGAGGCCTTATAGGGCTTTCCCTAAGGACATGGAAAGGAAATGAAAACAAACACAGAAAGCAAAAGTAACTGACTAGAAAGCTCAGCATGGTGTTTATGACCTTCAGCCATGATGTTGGGTGCAGTTCTTTTTCACTGATGATAGTATTCTGTTGGATGAATATATTGTAATTTATTTATAGGGCAGCAAGTCAAGTTATTGGGATGGGGGTGGGTTGTATAAGAAATAGTCTAAATGTTTCCATTTTTTCCCCTTATTCAATAACAGAACTGGGATGTAATTCTATGACAGAGAACTTGTCTAGCATACATAAGACCCTGAGTTTGATACCTAGCACAGCCAAAAAAAAAAACAAAAAACAAAAAACAAAACAGTAGTACCTGGAAGTGATCAAGCCTTATTATTATTTTTTTTAAATGTTTTCTCCTCACAGGATTGAGCTACACCCCCAGTCCTTTTTAAAATTTTGTATTTTGAACTATGTCTCACTACATTGTGCAGGCTGACCTGGAATTTTCCATCTTCCCATCTTGGTAGCCCATGTCACTAGGATCACAGGCTTGTGCCACTAGACCAAGCTGATCGACCATTTTCAAGGAATATTTTCCAATATCCTAGTAAACTAATGTCTTTGCATTACAGTTGAAATACTTAAAAAGTGCAGAGCATATTGATTTGGGGAATGTTTGCTGAAATCTTAGGAAGAAAAGACTGACTCTTTTTTAAAAAATGTTCTTGAAAAGCACAGTTCTTTGAAAAATTTCCATATATTCTGTTTGCTTTACTCAATTGGTCTTTCTAAATAAAAGCAGAAATCCTTCATATCATACTCAAATCCAGTTTGCCAATCCGTTAAGTATAACTTAGAAAAAATGAACAAGAGAATTGGTATTTCAACTGTTTATTTTAGGTGGTAATTTATTTAAACAAAAACAAATCATTAAGGGTTGGAGTTATGGCTCAGTAGTAGAGCACTGGCATGTGTGAGGCCCTGGGTTCAATTCCTCAGCATCACATATAAATAAATTAATTAATTAAATAAAGGTCCACTGACAACTAAAAAAATTTTTTTAATCATTATTAACAACCAAAAACTAAGTGAAAAACAGCTTGTCTCAGACCAAAAGAGGAAACATTCACTCCTAAGAGATTTTGCCCAGTAGTTTTCTATGCGGTTTTACACCATTCAACTCTTGTTACTTAGATGTAAGCAAAATACCAAGACAACTCTCACTGCCTCTATTAACAGAAACTAAAGTTAAGAGAGGGGGAAATATGAGGAAAAAATACATAAAAGCTAACTCCCCAAAATGGAACATGACTTTTAGAATGTTTTGCTCAACCAACAGGTGTACTTATGGTCCCTGACAGATGAACAAGATGACAAAAAGTAGCAAAATGTGAAGAGTGCTTTTCTAATGCTAGTACTACCTAGCTCTACCTAGCTCTACCTAGATCATTTTTAATTGTGTGATAAAACCCTCCACGTTTTCTCCAAACCTGCAATATTCCAATCCTTCTGTATTACCTTTGAGGACCCCGACTCATTCTCTTTACCAAGAAATTCAAATAAATAAACTAAATTTCAGGGCTGGGGCATAGCTCAGCTGGTAAAACACTTGCCTCACTCGCATGCACAAGGCCCTGGGTTCAATCTCCAGCACCACAAAAAAAAAAAAAAAAAGAGATTTCATCCCCTTTTTAGTGGATCACAGGACTCAACTACAGAGATGACGGTATTATTTTTGCTGATGCTCTAATGCTCTTAACACAGATAACAAGACTGTAATACAGATATAGCCAAGTGCATTGGCCCTCACCAGTAATCCCAGTGACTCAGGAGGCTAAGACAGGAGGATCACAAGTTCAAGGCTAGCCTCAGGAATGCAAAGCCCTAAGTAACTTATTGAGACCTTGTCTTAAAAATAAAAAGGGATGGGGATGTAGCTCAGCGGTAAAGACCACCAAGTTCAATCTCTAGTAACCCCCCAAAAATATATATGTATATATACACATATATAAATAATAAAGAAAAAGTTGTATGTAGATTTGAAAACATTGGTTGTAATAATTTATAATGAATTCACAATGCAAGTCATGAAGGTTCCCCTGCCCTACAACACAAAATAATGTGAAGTAAACAATACAAAACAACATTACAAAAGATGAGTAGTAGTACAGTTTTATAAATACACCAAACTTGAATAAAGAGATTAAGTTTATACTCATAGCAAGATGTATGAATTTTAGTGCAGTTATTCTATATGGATTTCAATTTCCCTATCTATAAAACAAAAAGTTGGTTTCTAACATTCCTGAAATAATGTTCTATAATGCTATCATACAAATAGACACAAAAACATGATTTAAAAAAAGGATTTTGAGTTCAAAGAAAAGCAACATCACAGGAAACACTTGGAAGGCTATACTGAAATATCAAAAATGTAACTTCAACAAAATTTTATTTCATTTGCAACCTGGGTAATTTAAGGGGAAATTTTTATTTTTAAAGAATAGGCAGTCTATGCATCAATATTCAAAGTTTCAAAAGATATGAGAAATACAAAGAGCAAATCAGAATGATTACTTTAGTTAGAATGGACAGTTCCTACAGAGAAATAGTACTGGCATTAGAAAAGTAGGTCTTGAACAGATTGTTAGAAGGCTATGAATTCTGAACTGTGCTCTGTAGATAATAGAAAGATATCACTGGTTTCTTAACAGTGAGGGATGTGTTCAAAGCATTGTTTTTTAAGATCTAGCAGCAGTCATGACATAGTTGAGAAAAGCCAGACAGAAAATCCAGTTAAAGTTGGTGCGCAATTCAGAGACAAAAATTAAAATAGGGCAAAAATTTTGTTGAAGAAAAGTATATCTTTCTTTTTAAAATTTGCAGTGCTGGGGACTAAGTCTTGTACTTGCTGTCTAGGTGTTCTACCATTAACCTACATATCCCACCCAAACATATATTATAAAGAAAATGAAGAAGAAAAAGCAAAGTGAATATTAAGTTACGTGGCTAGAGATGAAACCAAGGTGTGTGTCTGGATAACTAAAAGCATACTGTTATACAATGTCACTAAAACAATCAGCATATGGAATGTTTTGAAAGGAAAAAAGGTCTAAGTCAGTATTTGGAGATAAACTGTAACTAAGTCAACTTTGATATAGGTTAAAGTAAGGATCTTTCAGAACCAATTGCTGCCTTAATTTATCTTTAAATGCCATATTCAGCCTGTCAGTTGTCTTCCTAAAACAGCACGAAGTACTTAAGAAAAAATTTTTCAATGTTCAATTATTTCAAGAATTCTCTTCAATTTTACTTATCAACTAAATAATCATTTAATTTTCGAATGTTGCTGAAGAACACTTTGGCATGTTTCCATATTATCAAGGTAACTAAATTTATTAAGTTTTTCTCACAAGAGATCTGTTTACAAAAATAATCACATCAAATCTTCCTAAACTTTGGAAAGAAAGCTCTCAGGGCTGAGGTTGTGGCTCAGTGGCAGAGCACTAGCCTAGCATGTGTGAGGCACCGAGTTCGATTCTCAGCACCACATATAAATAAATAAGAAGGTCCATTGACAACTAAAAATAAAAAATAAAAAAGCTCTCAATTGTATTAAAAAAAAAAAAGAAAAGAAAAACAGAAAGCATAAAGTACCAAAACATGACAGTATATTTCCAGTTTTATTTACAGGAACCTGAAAATACTTAGAAAAATAAGGCAAATATTTTAAAATTTAATATGAGAAAACAGGCAGAACAGACTTTAATACTCAGCAAACTATGTTTATTGATACTAAGCTAAATTCTCCAGATCCCAACTTTCCCAAAGAAAATCAATTTCACCACAAATGAAATGAATGTAGTATTAATCAACCAATGCATTGTTGAGTTACTATCAGAATGTGAACTGAGCATTATTAACAATTACCAAAAAACTTTCTTCTTGGGTTATTTCCCCACTTACTTTGTGACCTCACTGAAAGCTGAGACTTTAGATACAATGATTTCCAGGTTTTTAAGAAATCGTTATGGTTGGTTTGTCATAAAGTTATCAAAGTAAAAATTTTTAAAAAATAAAGACCTCTTGCAACACTCCCTCTTTTTAGCCAGACATTGGGCTTCATTGCTCCCCTCCCATCATGAGGTTAGTTCTCTGAACCTCACCTCATTCTTTCCTAACTCTTAAGGATTCTTACCTAATGTAATGGGTAGAATTATTTTCAGATGATTTCAGTTCACGAGTTCGACATTAACGGAGCGCCTACCTTATGGTTCTCAGTTTTAAACAAAACCCAGCCTCCCCAGCTTCAAACGGCGAATTAACTTGTATGAAAACACATATAAGAGGGCACAAAACCAACCTATCGAAAAAAAAAAATGTTTTTTTTTAAACCGGACATGCCACAACTCATGTCAAAAGCTCAAAGCCCAAGCAACTCGCGTACAAAGCTAAAGCAGGTCCTCCCCGTGAAAGTTAACACCCAGATTTCCACCAGAACAGGGATAACGGCCGGGGGCGCGAGGGGGAGGGGCGGCGGGCGCGCCCCGCGGACGTCCACCGCGCACGGGGCACCGCTGGCTCCCCGGCTCGGGGCTGGAGGTGAGAGCGCCCTTCCTTCCCCACCGCGTCCCTACCTTCCCGGCCTCGGGTTACGCCACAGCTGGCAGCCAGACTTTTTCAGGAGGAACACCGAGGCAGCGCACCGCGCGCTCGACCTTCCAGCCTCGCAGGGGCGGCGTTCCGGGAGCAGGAGGGAGGCCGCGGGGTCGCCCCGAACCGCGGCGCAGACGCCCAGCCTCCGCCGAGCGGCCTCCCCGCCCCCTCCGGCTCCGCTCCGCGCCCGCAGACGGCGCCCCCGGGGCTAACTCTGCCGGGGAAGAGGAAGCGACGCAGCGAGAACAGGCTGTGTGGACCGACGGGGGACGGAAGAGACTGTGTGTGCTCGCCGGCAAGGCCCTCTCACCTTCCCTCTGCCGAGCCCAGCCGGCTCCAGTCACTTGAGGAGGGCACAGGGACACCGCCGCGGCCGCCGGGATGGCCGTTACGGCACGAGGCCTGCGCTCCGCCGCCGCGTAGCTCTCTGGAGAGGGGCGGGCCGCGCGGCGAGAGGGCGGGGCCGCGCAGGCAGGAAACCATTTCCCGGCCCAATCTGATACGCTCAGTACACCCTTTCCCCGTCCCCGACGCGACAGCGGTCTGCGCCGCTCCGGGATTGGGCGAGCCTACCTGTCAATCAAGTGCTGTGCTGGATGTTGAGGGAGCTGAGGCTGCGCTATGGTAAAGACAGAGGTTGAGGAGTCCTGGGCCTGGTGGTGTCTAGCGGTTTGCCTCCCCGACCCCACTGGCTCTGACCTTAATGCTCCTGCTTAGCGCTGCTGCAGAAACTCCACAGCAAAACCCGACTGCGTCCGGTCCGGAGTTCAGCCCTAACTGCCTTGGTGGTTACCTCCTGATTTGTGCACCTGAACAGGATCCTCCCAGCTGAAGATTCGTAGCGGGAGGGAGCGACAAAGAAAAACAAACTCCTGGAAATGAAAAACTAGAGGGGGAAAAATGTAAGACTTATGCTTAATTTGAGCCACAACTAAAATAACTGAGTCTACGGGTCCTCAAAGCGCCCTTGTGCGTGTTTTCCACTCTCAGCTTAACAGCCCCGTTAAAAGGACTGTTACCCTCGGATCTTGATCTGCCCATTCTTAACAGCCTGGCTCCAGCCACCTGCTGGGTCATCAGTAAATTGCCCCCGCCCCCCATGGACACACGCACACTCCACTACTACAGTCCCATCACCACTACCACCAAAAAAAAAAAAAAAACACCTGCCTCATTCCTTCCTAAAGATCTTTGTGATTTAGTTTAGGTGTCGCTGTTCAGGGAAGCCTGCAGGGTTAAGAACCTTTCTAGGAACAGGTATTGCCCCATCTGAACTGTAGACCTTCCTAGATTGTAAACTCCATTAAGTCAGGAACAATGTCAGTTCACTTTTCCCCAGTGCTCAATTCATGACACGTGGTCAATATTTTTGTTGAAGGCATTAATATATTTTCTTTTCTTTTTGATCTTGGACCTGACTGTAAGTCTCAAAAGTTCACAGTTTTCTGTGTTTAAAACTATTCACTTGCGTGCTAATGGATATATGTGGTTAACTTGCCTTATGTAGGATCACAAGGAAAAGCACAGATTAACTATGGCCCCTACCTAGTCTCAAATTTGCTGAGACAAGTAGACTATAAAAATGGAAAGCAACTACTGTCTGTCTACATTCCATCATTAGTGTCCAAATTGAATAATGCCTGTGAATTTTGGATTTAAGGGTTTGAAGTTGAGGGTTATCATATCTACCATGGACTGAATTGTATCCCTGCAAAATTCATATGCTGAAGCCCTAACCCCCAATATGACTGTATTTGGAGATAAACTATATTTGGCTATAGACCTTTAGAAGATATGTAAGGTTAGGGCAGGGCATAATGGCATTGGCCTGTAATTTCAGCGGCTCAGTAGGCTAAAGCAGGAGGATAGGGAGTTCAAAGCCAGCCTCAGCAACTTAGCCAGGCCCTAAGCAACTCAACCAGACCTGTCTCTAAATAAAAATACAAAATAGGGCTGAAGATGTGGCTCAGTAGCCAAATGCTCTTGAGTTCAATCCCTGGTATAAAAAAAAAAGGAGGGGAAGCCAGGGGTCTAGCGTTGTGGCTCAGTGATTAAGAGCCTCTGGGTTCCATTCTCTAGTACAAAAAAAAAACCCAGTAAGGTTAAATAAGGTCATAAGGATGATAACCTAATCATATAGGATTAGAGACTTCTGTCTTTAAAAATAAAAAAATAAAGAACCAGACATGTTCTCCACCATGTGAGAACACAGAGAGAAAACAGTCTTCTGAAGCCTGGAAGAAAGCCCTCACCCAAAATCAACCATGATCTTGGACTTTCAAGCCTCCTTAACTGTGAGAAAATAAAATTCCTATCATTTAAGCCATCTAGCCTGTGATATTTTGTTATGGCAGCCCAAATTAACACATGGTTTTCTTGATACACTTTATGAAGTTTATGGGTTGAGATACTATTATCAATTTTGAAGAAACCATTGTCCAGAAGTTAAAACTACTTCTCCAAAATAGTGAACGTAGCAGAACGTGAGTCAATTTCAATTCTAGTTACAGATTCACCAAGTGATGGAAGCAGAAGGTATGAATACAAAAAACAAGAAATAAAATACAATACTTGACTTCACACTAATTAACCCAGAAAAAAATGTGTAAATCATAAATTTAGGTTTTATTTTGGAAGAGAATCTGTATTTTGAAGGAGCCAATGATCTAAGTAGACCCTTTACAAGATTTTGATCCAGATCTGTTGGCTATTATATGCCATCTATTTAAGCAATAAAAGATGTTTGGGGCTATGGGGTGGAGTCTCAGTGTAGAGTGTTTGCCTAGCTTGCACAAGGGTGTGGTTTTGATCCTCAGCACCATAAAAGAAAAAAAAAATAAAATAAAAAGCAGCTCCAAATGAGCCAGTCACCAGGACTTGGTGAGATCCTATCAAAATAAAATATTTTGTTTTAAAAAACACTAGAGGCTGGGCACAGTGGTACACAACTGTAATCCCAGTGGCTTGGGAGGGTGAGTTAGGAGGATCATAAGTTCAAAGCCAGCCTCAGCAACTTAGCGAGACCCTGTCACAAAATTTAAAAAGAGGGCTGGGAATGTAGCTCAGTGGTAAGGCACCTCTGGGTTCAATCTCCAGAACCAAAAAAGAAAAGAACTGGGGGTGTAGTTCAGTGATTCAGCACTTGCCTAGCATGTGCTAGACCCTCAATTCCCTGTACTGCCAAAAACAAAAAGACAGATGTGCATGTGCACACACACGCAAGCACACATACACACACACACACACTATATATATATATGCACAAGAGGAGTTGAAGAAAAGGAAACAGTGAAAGAGAGAAGCATAGACTAAAAAGATAGATAGAAAGTCTTATTTGAATTACACTTAGAAGAAATAAAGTCGTGTTCTTATGGGATAGAAGTTGTCTAAGAGACTTAGTTTCACACACTCTTATCTTCCCAGCTTCCAAACAGGCAAGTGGCTTAAGAATCATCCTTGTTAATTAGTGCTGAGTGGACCAGAGACTAACTAGAATTAACCAACAACAAACTTGGGTCAAAACTCAATGACCTGGGCTGGGGATGTGGCTCAAGCGGTAGCGCGCTCGCCTGGCATGCGTGCGGCCAGGGTTCGATCCTCAGCACCACATACAAACAAAGATGTTGTGTCCGCAGAAAACTAAAAAATAAATATTAAAAAAAAATTTCTCTCTCTCTCTCTCTCTCTCTCTCTCTCTCTCTCTTTAAAAAAAAAAAAACTCAATGACCTACCGAGGTGTGATGGTACATGCCTATGACCCCAGTGATTCAGGAGGCCAAGGCAAGAAGATCATATATTCAAAGCCAGCCTGGGCAACTGTGTGAGACCCTGTCTCAAAATCAAAAAGTGACTGAAAATACAACTCAGTAGTAGAGGATGTTTGGGCTCAATCTCCAGTACCACACACACACACAAAAAAAAAAAAAAAAAAAAATTGATGACCTATGGACTGGATGTAGGTAGCAAATGTCTAAGATAAAGACATGCAGACAGCTTCCTTCATTAATCCCAAAAGAAAGTATCACAGAAAACAAGGAAGTGAAAAGTGAACCTTCATGTCTCAAGACCTTTCCCAGGAAATTATTGAGGGCTTATAGTCAAAACTAATTGGAGAGAATAACTGTCAGACATAAGTATTTAGGACAAAAAAAGTCCTACATACCAATTAGCAAGGCTGGACTATAAGGTATAGAAATTACAGACTTCTGGTACTAAATTTAATTTTTAGATTCAGCATTGTTATGCTTTGATGGGAATTAATATAATAAAAATGTGTTAAGGGTTCACTCAGTAGTAGAGACTACAGTAGGTACTGGATATCTAAAGAACACTTAAAGCACCTTATAAGTGCTCACACCAGTGTCAGAAATTGAGATTTAAGTAGACATTATTATAACAATAAATAACAATATATGTATATAAGGAGGACATTAAGACACAAGAGAACAAATTGTGATCAAGCTAGTGAGACAATTAACTAGGCAAAAAGAAAGATTTTCTACTTAATAAAAGGCACTAAACAACACTATTTGCTGGAGAAGAAGATGATTAGAATAGTAAGCAATAGGTTATGGAAGTCAAGAACCTTAATGTTTATCCTAAGGACAATGAAAAGTCATTGAAGGGCTTTCTTTCAGTCCTTTAAAACTTCTCAGGACTGAGGATGTAGCTCACTGATAGAGAGCTAGTCTCATGTGCAAAAAGGCCCCAGTTCCATCTCCAGTATTACCAAAAACAAAACCAAAAAAAAGTCACTTTGTTATTTTTTGGCCTCCAATGTGTCCACTGAGAAGCTAATTGTAATTCTTGTCATTATTGTCCTATATCATGTGTTTTTCTCTGGTTGCTTTTAAGATTTTATTTCTTTATCTTTGTTTATCAGCAGCCATACTGATAATAGTAGTTATACAGTTATCAACAGTTACACTTTTTTTAGGTGTTTTTTCTCTTTGCATTTATGCTGCTTGGGGTTTACTTAGTTCCCTGGATCTCTGAGTTGGTGGGTTTAACTTATTTTTTTTCTTTCTCTGCTTTTTTCCTCCTTTCTTTCTTTTATCAAATTTGGAAAAAGAATAGTCAATATTTTTTCTGCCTCTGAATTTTTTTTTTCCTGCTTCATTCCCTCTCTTTTCTTCTTCTGGGACTATAGTTACAATTATGCCAGATTTCTTAGTTCATGTCATTCGGGCTCTGTTCTCAGCCTACTCCCTTTAAATCTTTTTCTGTCTGTGCTTCAATTTGCAAAATTGCTATTGAGAGCCAATGTCTAGTAATCCTTGAAAAATCTAAATGTTGACATTTTCCCAAAGTACAGATACCTTATAATTAGTGACTGTGAATTTCTTGGAGGAAGATTTGGAGACATATTAATCATGAAAACAAAAATCACAAGATATTACAACAGAGAAAATTTAATTTGGGCTGTTGATGGACAGGAA